TAATAACACTGACGTGAGAAAATACTATAAATTAAAGATTACACCCAAGACATGCTATATCAAACGGGGTAAATCTATTAAAACATATATACAAATCAATGATTTGTTTGTTAAAGGGAAATTTGACTTAGGTCAATTTTTCTCTAGGCTCGATGATGTGGCCGATAAGCATTCAATTGACAAATTACAAGTGGCACCTAGTGAGAAAATTTTCGAATTTGTCTCTATAAATGAATTTAAAGAAATGGGCAATAAGAAATTAATTAAAATGAAAGTAGCGCTACTGAATGAGGTGACCCAAATAAATTATAAAGATGCAAAAACAATTGAAAGTATATTAAAAAGATATCATGATGACCCGGCAGAAGGAGGTCATTGTGGCATTTCAAGAACCTTGAATAAAATAAAAAGATACTATTACTGGAAACACATGACTAAAACAATCACGAAATATGTTAAGAATTGTCATAAGTGTCAAATAACCAAAGTCACAAAACATATAAAAAGTCCAATGACTTTGACGCCAACACCAAACAAGGCATTTGATACAATATTCGTTGACACAATCGGCCCGCTGCCATTGTCAGAAAATGGAAATGCATACGCAGTCACGATAATATGCGACATGACTAAATATTTAGTGACAATACCAACTAAAGATAAAAATGCAAAAACTATAGCTAAGGCAATTTTTGATAATTTTATTCTCGTCTACGGTCCTATGAAGACGTTCATATCGGACATGGGCACGGAATATAAAAATTCACTTTTAGAAGAAATATGCAAACTTTTAAATATAGAAAAACTAACATCAACCGCCCACCACCACCAGACGTTACCCTGCAGGCAAAATTACCGGTACTTGACATATCACATACCGGTCACAAGGAGAATATACCGGTCTTAGTTCCGGTTCTTATATATGAAAACGAGCGGCAACTTTAACACGGGGTTGTCATTGGAGGTGACCAATTGCCACCACATAGAGACTTTTGGGGCGGAACTGTGATAATTTGAGTGAACCTCTCCTTTGACAGGTCCTTTTATACCGGTTTTGTGATTGGTATAAAAGAGAAGATTGCGGTGCCAGTTACGAGCATCTACATACCTCATCCCATAGAAAACTCTGCTTTCTCCAAAAATTTGTATATGCAACTCTTTATTTGTACCATTGCGCTAGGTTTAGAATATACACAAGTTTGATTAAATTAAAATTAAAATTAACTCAGTTTCATAAACATCCCAAGACTGAATGTTATATATATACAGGGTGTCCAAAACTCCGCATTTTATTTTTGAAGGAGAAAAGAGATCGAAATTTGGAGTCGAAAGTTCATTTGAACTTTACTGTATAACGCCTCCTAGTCCAATTATTCAAGTTTGATGTTGAGCAAACACAACTTTGTCGTTCGCTCTCAACTTAAACGTTTGCAATTAAAAAATATTTGAAATTTAAATAAGCTTTCGACTCCAAATCTCTTTTCATTCTTAAAAATAAAGTGCGGCGGTTTGGGACATCCTGTATACATACACTCGCTCCATTAAATCTGCGTACACCCTTGTTTTTTTTTTAAATATTCACAATATTTTACAAGCTTTATTTTTTGTTTTGTTATTTTTTACAAAAATATGGTCCATGTTGTAAACAAAACCATATAAATCAAAGTTTCAAACTGTATATAAAATTAAGGAAAATTTAGCGGATTTTCATCAAAATTTTAAACGTTTTACTCACATTTTTTAAAAAACAACAATGTACAAATTTGAAGTGGCTTAAAAATCGCGTTGATTTTTATTTTTTTGTGCGACGGCTCTAGGCATTTATCTCCATACAAGATATGAGCGAATTTTTTTTTAATGGTAGAAAATACGTACAGGTGTCAGCAAAAAAATTGTTAAAAATCAACCCAATTTTTTAGCCACTTCAAATTTGTACATTGTACTAAAATTAAATAGGCTATAAAACTGCATACCAGAAATTTAAAAAAAATGTGAGTAAAACGTTTAAAATTTTGATGAAAATTCGTTAAATTTTCCTTAATTTTATATACAGTTTGAAACTTTGATTTATGTGGTTTTGTTTACAACATGGACCATATTTTTGTAAAAAATAACAAACAAAAAAATATAGCTTGCAAAATATTGTGAATATTTAAAAAAAGAAGGGTGTCCGCAGATTTAATGGAGTGAGAGTATATTTGCATTAGAATACAAAAAATACATTTTTGAGAAAAAACTTAACATCACTCATATTAAATTAAATAAAATTTAAGAATTCCAATAAATATTTCAAGTAAGGTTAAAATTGTATGTTGACGTCAGTTAAGATACCTATGACATAAAACTAATTATGAAAGAAGAATTTGAAACACAAAAATTCATTTTTAAATTTACATAGCAATGGAACTTTAATATTTTGTAACCTTACTAAATAAGTCACTCACAAAATAATGAGTACACAGTGATTTTTTTACAATATTCAAATTATTTTTCATAGTAAAACTTTTCCTACTTTTTTTTTTAATAAATGCAGTTGTCGAACAAATTATAGCCGCACCACATTTTGGCAAGTTCTAGCATATTATTTTTTTTTGTCATTTAACAAAACCCGTGTAAATCCAAGGTTGTTATTAAAAAAAATTCAACAAACTTTCGTAAAAATTTTGAGCTTTTTTAATTAGATTCCATTGCGCTAGGTTTAGAATATACACAAGTTTGATTAAATTAAAATTAAAATTAACTCAGTTTCATAAACATCCCAAGACTGAATGTTATATATATACAGGGTGTCCAAAACTCCGCATTTTATTTTTGAAGGAGAAAAGAGATCGAAATTTGGAGTCGAAAGTTCATTTGAACTTTACTGTATAACGCCTCCTAGTCCAATTATTCAAGTTTGATGTTGAGCAAACACAACTTTGTCGTTCGCTCTCAACTTAAACGTTTGCAATTAAAAAATATTTGAAATTTAAATAAGCTTTCGACTCCAAATCTCTTTTCATTCTTAAAAATAAAGTGCGGCGGTTTGGGACATCCTGTATACATACACTCGCTCCATTAAATCTGCGTACACCCTTGTTTTTTTTTTAAATATTCACAATATTTTACAAGCTTTATTTTTTGTTTTGTTATTTTTTACAAAAATATGGTCCATGTTGTAAACAAAACCATATAAATCAAAGTTTCAAACTGTATATAAAATTAAGGAAAATTTAGCGGATTTTCATCAAAATTTTAAACGTTTTACTCACATTTTTTAAAAAACAACAATGTACAAATTTGAAGTGGCTTAAAAATCGCGTTGATTTTTATTTTTTTTTGCGACGGCTCTAGGCATTTATCTCCATACAAGATATGAGCGAATTTTTTTTTAATGGTAGAAAATACGTACAGGTGTCAGCAAAAAAATTGTTAAAAATCAACCCAATTTTTTAGCCACTTCAAATTTGTACATTGTACTAAAATTAAATAGGCTATAAAACTGCATACCAGAAATTTAAAAAAAATGTGAGTAAAACGTTTAAAATTTTGATGAAAATTCGTTAAATTTTCCTTAATTTTATATACAGTTTGAAACTTTGATTTATGTGGTTTTGTTTACAACATGGACCATATTTTTGTAAAAAATAACAAACAAAAAAATATAGCTTGCAAAATATTGTGAATATTTAAAAAAAGAAGGGTGTCCGCAGATTTAATGGAGTGAGAGTATATTTGCATTAGAATACAAAAAATACATTTTTGAGAAAAAACTTAACATCACCATATTAAATTAAATAAAATTTAAGAATTCCAATAAATATTTCAAGTAAGGTTAAAATTGTATGTTGACGTCAGTTAAGATACCTATGACATAAAACTAATTATGAAAGAAGAATTTGAAACACAAAAATTCATTTTTAAATTTACATAGCAATGGAACTTTAATATTTTGTAACCTTACTAAATAAGTCACTCACAAAATAATGAGTACACAGTGATTTTTTTACAATATTCAAATTATTTTTCATAGTAAAACTTTTCCTACTTTTTTTTTAATAAATGCAGTTGTCGAACAAATTATAGCCGCACCACATTTTGGCAAGTAGTAGCATATTATTTTTTTTTGTCATTTAACAAAACCCGTGTAAATCCAAGGTTGTTATTAAAAAAAATTCAACAAACTTTCGTAAAAATTTTGAGCTTTTTTAATTAGATTCCCTAGAAAAATTCTGAGTATGCAGTTTTGCAGCCCATTGAATTCTAGTAGAATAAAGTACAAGTTTCAAATGGCTAAAAATCACCCTTGATTTTTCAGAACTTTTTTTGTCGCTGATGTTACGGTTTTCTTCCATATAAATTGTGTTTATTCGTTATATGGAAGCAAATAGAACACAAAAAAAAATTCTAAAAAATCAAGAGTAATTTTTAGCCATTTGGAACTTGTACTTTATCTACTAGAATTCAATGGGCTGCAAAACTGCATACTCGGAATTTTTCTAGGGAATCTAATTAAAAAAGTTCAAAATTTTTACGAAAGTTTGTAGAATTTTTTTTTTTTAATATGAAACTTGGTTTTGTGAAAGAAAACTATGTTTTAATAAAAAATAACCAAAATTCAATAACAAAAAAAAAGAAATAATATGTTCGAACTTGTCAAAATGGGGTGCGGATATAATTTGTTCGACCACTGTATATGTATATGTATAAGGCTTGTTCGTTAATAAAACCATAAAAACAAAGTTTCCTAATTTGTTAAAGTGTAAAAAAATCAAAAAATTTTCATCAAAATTTCAAACGCTTAAACAGAATTTTTAATGTTTAATTGTATAGGTACCCAGTTTTATAGCCCATTCAATTTTATTACAATAAATTCCAAGTTCAAAGTAGCTCAAACTCACGTTGATTTTTAGTATTTCTTTTTTGCTGAGGGGTTCAGCTTTTTCCCCAATAAAACCAATTCCAAACTTTCTTTATATGGAAGGAAATGCTTAACACCGTCACCAAAAAAGGTTAAGGGGGCTATAAATTGCGTACCTACGAAATGAAAAATTAAAAACTCTGTTTAAACAGTTTGATATAATTTCAATAACTATTGTAAAAAAATCACTCCATGCTTAATTTTGTAAGTTACTGTATAAGACTACTTTAATCGTCACTTTGGTTTCGTTTACTTATAAGTATTTTTTTCAAATAGCGCTTTTTCGACAGATGGATCGCCCTTCGAATCTTCTCCTCAGCCTCTTCTACACCATATAACGTTGCAACGGCATCTTAAAATAAATAAATATAAGTACACATAACATTTCAAAATTTACTTTAACGAACCTTTGACGACTTTATACAGCTTGAAGTCCTTCAACCGCTTCTTTCCATGACTACCGTCCGTGTTGTACTCATAAATGAATTCCGGCTCGAAAATCAAGTCAATATTTTTCTGTAAATTACTGGAAATAATTTTTTTCACCATATTGACCTACAAAATAAAAAACAAAAAATTAATATTAAGGAACAAATGGGCCAGCGGTCAAAATAGTAGCAGCCCAATATTTCGATAATAATTTTTTTAATTTAATTTTAATTATGTTTTATAAAAGTATAGTTCGTTCTTTAACAAAAACAATATAAATCCAGGCTTCAAACTTTGTGCACAATTTAAAAAGTTTGAAATTTTTATGAAAATTTGTTGAATTGTTTTAAATTTTGCACAAAGTTTGAAATCTGGATTTCTATTGTTTTTGTTAAAGAACGAACTACACTTTTATAAAAACAATTAAAATTAAATAAAAAAAATTATTTTCGAAATTTGTACACTTGTTAAAACATTTACTAAAGTGCTTGCATAGCTTTTAGTGTTGGATTCGTCTATATTTTCATCCAATTCTTTTAGCGTGTCGCGTGGTTGAGTTCTCTGTGTCTTGAATTAATAGCTTTTTTATAAGAACATTTGTTCAGCCAATGCTTCCATTAAAACTGTATTTTGATGAGTGGTCGAATCTGAAAAATCGAAAAAAACTTTAGTTCTAATTTTTTCATATCATAAAAATCGAAAAAGTGCATACTTTTTAGTTCCTCTGTTACGAATGAATGTAGTTGTGATATTGAATCTGAAAATATAGAAGTAAAAAAGTTTTTTTTTTAATTCTTACAAAGTTTTATACATACCTTTTATTTCCTGAAATTTCGTATCTATTTTTGTTTCAAATATTTCTTCCAGCCACACGCAATTCTCACACCGGTTTTCATCTGCACAAAAATTATAATGAATTTGTAATAAAAGTACATTTTAATTTTCAATATTTACCTTGTGTTTCCACGTTTGTCTTCGTGAGTTTAACGTACTTTGATGGCCGTTTTTCCATTTTTGGGGGTTCGCTTATAAATAAATAAATTATAATGGTTAGTTATTTGTACATTTAAACAAATATTAAATTTTTATTGAGTTTAAAAGCAGCCATGTAAGATTGGAATCAAGACAAATTTATCCTGCTGAGGTAAACCTATGCACTTACATTTGATTTGGGATAGAAGAAAACTTTCGTCTATGCTGCTGCGATTTAAATTGACCAAACATATTCCTAAATATTTTAATGAATCTATTGGTTCCTCAAAAAAAGCAGTTGGATTTAAAAGTCGCTTTCCTATTACAAGTTTTTTTTCTTTATTGAAAGCTGCTATTTGGAAAGGTATATTAGGTTCAATAAAACAATAGTTGTCGGGAAACTCGACACTAAAAATATATTCCGACGTGACTAACTTTATTCGATTTTTTTCTTCTAAAAATCCTTCTTGTTGAGTTTGTATATTAGGCTTTTCGCGGGAAACGTTGTTATAAATTTGTTGAAGTATATGTGTGGGTTTTTTAACGTAACTTTTTAAAATTTGCAAGTAATTTTCAAAGTTGTAAGCTGAAAAATTTTGCAGAATTCCGAATTGTTTTGCACAGTCTGTGATATGCAAAAGGCTGTGCACATTAAAACTCACGCTATTTTCCTGGAACACAACTGGAAAATTTTGCACAAACAGCTTCAGCATATCCTGACAAAGTTTTATATTTCGCTCGTAGCTTTTTGGACATGATAATAATCTGCATGAGCAGTGCAGTAGGAGAAATTCATAATAAAGCTCATTATGAATGCTTCCTTTTAGTACTAAAATACCCGTATAGAGCAAAAATTGCCGAAATTCCGTGGCTTTCCAAGCACAATATCTTCGAAGCCACGCGGTCGGCGAGAAAATTCCAATGGAATATATTTTCGAAGGGATTTTAAATCCTTAGAAATATTAAGGATATTCTCTTTGAAACTTTATATTCCAAGTTAATTTTGTTACTTAACAAACGCATCAGACATTTTCTTACCACCCCTAAGTCTACCAAGTGCATACTGTCAAGGGCCTTTTGACTTACCATATTAAGATTAATTTTTTCCAAAGGAGAGATTTTAGAACGAAAAGTTTTTTGATGGTGAGATTTTAGCCGCCTCTCCTTAAAATCTCCGTCTGAAATCAGTGGGCCTGAATCTATACTGTAAGTTAAAACGTGATCAATTTGCTTCGCTACTTGCGTACATTTGGAACAACCGTAAGAGGATGTGTGCCCAACTGTTCCACATATAAATGAAGTAGCTGGGGCATCGCAAACCACAGCTCTTAATGTAAGGCGAACTGTTTTGTTTTTAATACAAATTCCAGTTTGTGAAATGCGAGTCATTTCTTCAACAAAATCAAGTAAATAAACATCTAAATCACTGGGCTTTTGCTTTCCAACATATACTCCAATGGGTAATATAGAAGTTATCTTAGAGTTAACAATTCTAATCAAAATGGGCCATAGCTGAACCCTGGAGCTTCTAAATAAGGGTATTCCATCTACATTAATGTCGAAAACTATTTCATCGCTTTCGGAAAAGTAATTAGACAAAGACATTAATTGATTTTCAATACCAAAATGGGAATAGAATCCTGGAGGTACACATCTAATACTAAAGTTTGCCGTTTTTGGTAAAAGGGTTCTAATGTCACTTGGCACATCGAGATTTTCTTCGGCAAGAATTCCAAGCAAATCATTGCAACACTCTCTACTAGGTCTGTACTTTAGTGCCCAATCTTTTAATTGCATTTTAAATCTTTTGTACACAAACTACTAACCGGCTCCTCATCTGGCACGATATTTCCACTTGATTGCAAATTTGACTCCCGCACAAGCGCTTTGGTTGCCAGTGGAGTCTCCAATGTCTCACATGGCGGCTTGTATTGAAGTTTAGACACAAATTCTTTCTTTTTATTACTTACTAACCTTTTTAAGTTACGGCGGCTTCCCAGCATTTTGTATTAGTTTAATAAACAACGTGTGGCAATCAACAACTTTTGTAGAACTCAACAAATTTAATACATACATAAATCACACAACACTTGAAAATTACTATTTTGATTTCTCGTTTTCGATAAAATGCGTCACTTACTCATCAGCTGTTTTAGAGTGTTGCGCCAAACAAATGGTTTATTTGCAACGCCGAACATTAAAATTTTGTTCGTCGGCGCATGCTCAATGGTGCAAATATGTACCAAATTCAAGTTCTGCGCGTGATTGTTACGACGTCATTTTTTTTTTATCTCGCTGGCGTCGTACTTTTGATGTTCAGTCGGCTTTTTTCGGCCGAGTTAACGATTGTTGAATGTGACCAAAAATTAATTACCACCACCTGCATCACCAGGAGTGAGTCCTAGTAGTGGCAACATTTTGTTCTATCAACTGACACGCCGAGATAAATTGCCACCGTTTGCCTGAAGGGTAGGGACGGTCGAGAAATCACATAAAGCGTTTAACCAATATGTAAGGTCATATGTATCGATAGACAAAAGTGATTGGGATGAGTGGCTTAAGTATTTTACATACTGCTTTAATACAACACCATCAACTGTACATACTATTGTCCATACGAGTTAGTTTTTGGAAAACTTCCAAATGGGTTTCAACAATTTGATCAGGTTGACAAAATAAGCCCACTTTATAATTTAGATAATTACGCTAAGGAAATTAGATTAGGTTAGAAATATCTCATAAAAGAGCAAGGGATATGATAGAACAAGCTAAGATAGTACAAAAATCTTATTTTGATAAAAAAGTTTTAGATTATAACTTTAAAATAGGTGATTTAGTTTTGCTAAAAAACGAATCAGGGCACAAATTGGACCCACAATACAAAGGACCATTTAAAATTAATAATATAGATTTTAAAAATAATG